TATTGACCTGAAGGCGTATTGACCACAACAATATTGACCTGAAGGCGTATACTTCTGACCACAACAATATTGACCTGAAGGCGTATACTTCTGACCACAACAATATTGACCTGAAGGCGTATACTTCTGACCACAACAATATTGACCTGAAGGCGTATACTTCTGACCACAACAATATTGACCTGAAGGCGTATACTTCTGACCACAACAATATTGATCTGAAGGCATATACTTCTGACCACAACAATATTGACCTGAAGGTGTATACTTCTGACCACAACAATATTGACCTGAAGGTGTGTACTTCTGACCACAACAATATTGACCTGAAGGTGTATACTTCTGACCACAACAATATTGACCTGAAGGTGTATACTTCTGACCACAACAATATTGACCTGAAGGTGTGTACTTCTGACCACAACAATATTGACCTGAAGGCGTGTGCTTCTGACCACAACAATATTGACCTGAAGGCGTGTGCTTCTGACCACAGGAATATTGACCTGAAGGCGTGTGCTTCTGACCACAACAATATTGACCTGAAGGCGTGTGCTTCTGACCACAGGAATATTGACCTGAAGGCGTATTGACCACAACAATATTGACCTGAAGGCGTATACTTCTGACCACAACAATATTGACCTGAAGGCGTATACTTCTGACCACAACAATATTGACCTGAAGGTGTATACTTCTGACCACAACAATATTGACCTGAAGGCGTATACTTCTGACCACAACAATATTGACCTGAAGGTGTATACTTCTGACCACAACAATATTGACCTGAAGGCGTATACTTCTGACCACAACAATATTGACCTGAAGGCGTATACTTCTGACCACAACAATATTGACCTGAAGGTGTATACTTCTGACCACAACAATATTGACCTGAAGGCGTATACTTCTGACCACAGGAATATTGACCTGAAGGCGTATTGACCACAACAATATTGACCTGAAGGCGTATAATTCTGACCACAACAATATTGACCTGAAGGCGTATACTTCTGACCACAACAATATTGACCTGAAGGTGTATACTTCTGACCACAACAATATTGACCTGAAGGCGTATTGACCACAACAATATTGACCTGAAGGCGTATACTTCTGACCACAACAATATTGACCTGAAGGCGTATACTTCTGACCACAACAATATTGACCTGAAGGCGTATACTTCTGACCACAACAATATTGACCTGAAGGCGTATACTTCTGACCACAACAATATTGACCTGAAGGCGTATACTTCTGACCACAACAATATTGATCTGAAGGCATATACTTCTGACCACAACAATATTGACCTGAAGGTGTATACTTCTGACCACAACAATATTGACCTGAAGGTGTGTACTTCTGACCACAACAATATTGACCTGAAGGTGTATACTTCTGACCACAACAATATTGACCTGAAGGTGTATACTTCTGACCACAACAATATTGACCTGAAGGTGTGTACTTCTGACCACAACAATATTGACCTGAAGGCGTGTGCTTCTGACCACAACAATATTGACCTGAAGGCGTGTGCTTCTGACCACAGGAATATTGACCTGAAGGCGTGTGCTTCTGACCACAACAATATTGACCTGAAGGCGTGTGCTTCTGACCACAGGAATATTGACCTGAAGGCGTATTGACCACAACAATATTGACCTGAAGGTGTATACTTCTGACCACAACAATATTGACCTGAAGGCGTATACTTCTGACCACAACAATATTGACCTGAAGGTGTATACTTCTGACCACAACAATATTGACCTGAAGGCGTATTGACCACAACAATATTGACCTGAAGGTGTATACTTGTGACCACAACAATTTAGGAACACCAGGACTAACCAATGTTAAAATAGAGGACGTCGTAGAAGGTTTTAAAGTAACAGCATGTAACTGTGACGGGGGTCAAACCCCAAATGTATAAATATTTTAGAAAACTTTCTGGTACGTGAGCTTCACTGAAATGTTGCGATGATGATCAGGTCATCACATTATGGTGGCACTGTTCTCCCGCGGCACAGCATCATGCAGTACTCACCTAGTTGTGCTTACCGGGGGTTGAGCTCTGACGCTTTGGTTCCGACTCTTAACTGTCAATCAACTGGTGTGTATCAACAATCAACGGTGTAAAGTTGATGTTGTCAGGTGGGTATCATGGCCAACTATACCGCTATAATTGCCTCTAATGGTGCTCCAGCAGTGTTTCAGAAACATGAAACACATCGTATTGCATCGTTTCATCTCCGGCAGTGTTTCATCGTTTCATCGTAATATTTCGGAGAGAAATATTCAGCATTGTACAACGGTACTATATACAGGACAGGTGAGATTGAAACTGATCTAACTACAGTTGTATGTGACAAATTCCAACAACGTAGAGAAGGAGGGGGACCTGCTGCTTGGGTAACAGCTTCTCCTCCATACTGACCTACCTAGGCTTTGCGTCCAGGCTAGGCACGCCAGCCTCGACCAGCAGAGCGCAACTCCATAGTCTCCCGAGACTGCAGGATGCCTACTCTGTGACACCTGTGTACATCCTGCCTTTAATATTAAACACTTATACACACTAACACCTGTAATAGCTAAGGAAGCTAGACAAAAGATATGAAATACAATAGGGAGATATAACAATGGCTTTTAAATGAACAAATCCACAAGGGCCGTGACGAGGATTCGAATTCCATAATTCGAGGATTCGCTACCATGTCGTAGCTCAGTCGATTGAGGCAGCGTCTGGGATGCTCTCAGACGTAGGTTCGAATCCTCGTCACGGCCCTTGTGGATTTGTTCATTTGATGCATCACGCTATTGTGATTTCTGTGTGTAATGGCTTTTAATATAAACACTGACACCCTTGAACGTGGACCACGGGAACTGCGTGTCTCCCAGTCTCCCTCTCCCACGGTACATCGCCACCTGTAAACACCTCAGTACCGCCTCCCATTCCTCCCAGAAAACCTTTTATAGCTTCTGTGTCGTCTGATAACTTTACATAACTATTAAATACACAATTAAGCAAAGTGTTTGATTATATATATTCTTAGACTTTCTATCTGCCGAAGTAGACACGTCTGAGTTTCAATGTATATACATCCTGGTTACCCAATGTATATACTTCCTGGTTACCCAATGTATATACATCCTGGTTACCCAATGTATATACATCCTGGTTACCCAATGTATATACTTCCTGGTTACCCAATGTATATACTTCCTGGTTACCCAATGTATATACTTCCTGGTTACCCAATGTATATACATCCTGGTTACCCAATGTATATACATCCTGGTTACCCAATGTATATACATCCTGGTTACCCAATGTATATACTTCCTGGTTACCAATAATGCCTTGTTGTTTGGGGGTGGCGGAAACTATACAGAACTATGACTCACAGCGCTGTTCTCTCTATGTTTCTTCTGAACCTTTTCGTAAAGTTAAATACACCAAACTGTTTAGAGAACTGCTTAGTAGAAAAGTATATCCTGTCATCGCTAGATATTTATATATTTCTTATTAATCATGTCAATTACCTGTGAAATGAAGTAATGTCCTCTCTGAAAATGTCTGCCTGAATATGGGGTCAAGCAAAGTGCTGTTTTTGGTTCTATATTATTTGCCGTTTTGCCCCTTTGTTTAAAGAGTTAAGAGCCAGGCAAGTTAAGAGCTTGTTAAGTTAAGCTTGTTGAGTTAAGAGTTAAGAGCTAAGGCAAATGTTTTCCCTGTTAGGCTGATGATCTAGTTCTACTCCCAACCGTCGAACAGTTCACGGAAAACGATAAAAAAGTATGTGAAAGATAGAGAGCAGAATACACCCTTACGTTTAATCCGACTCCAACTTAATCCAATCAACTATAATACGAATCCGACTTTAATCCGACTTAATCCTAATCAAATGCGCTTTGGTTGCTTTTATAATTCACAGGACACGTTTCAGCTAGTTCCCAAACCTAAAATTACTAGGCAGAGTAATTTCAGAATACCAAAGATTTTGAAAAGCATCTGGGGTCTATTATATCCTCAAAGGGGACCACTTGAATGGTTTTGCCCAAAACGCATTGCGTAATAGTGGCTTTAGGCATTGTATGTACTAGCTCTATCTATATATCAATCCATTAATGTAACATCACTTGTATGTATGTACCTTACCTGAATAAACATATTTATTTATTTATTTATTTACTTGTAAAGTTTTCTGATGCTCTTAGAGACCTGAAAGTCAGAATAAATGTTATCGCGAATAAACTGTCAACTTTCCCAGATAAATGCACAATCGTTTATGAAAAATGCTTTTGAATGGTTGATATTAACTTACCGGTCCCTATTAACTTAGCCAGCTAAGTTTTGCAACTTGTTAGTCCAGTGTCAATGTATATTCAATTGTAAACTGTAAACTTTCATATAATGTATAATAGTTTATAAAATATCGAGGTTTAAGTTAAATCTTTATCTACCATCTCTGTTCTTGCTTACTGTGGATTTTCTTTATCCCTAGAAGACATTTTAATATCTCTCAGAGAGTGTCTAACTTAATATCTCTCAGAGAGTGTCTAACTTAATATCTCTCAGAGAGTGTCTAACTTAATATCTCTCAGAGAGTGTCTAACTTAATATCTCTCAGAGAGTGTCTAACTTAATATCTCTCAGAGAGTGTCTAACTTAATATCTCTCAGAGAGTGTCTAACTTAATATCTCTCAGAGAGTGTGACAGTCTTAGCACTTCCTATTAACACCAGTCTCCTTGCGTCACGCAGCCATAATAACACCAATTTTGCGTCACGCAGCTATAATAACACCAATTTTGCGTCACGCAGCTATAATAACACCAATCTTGCGTCACGCAGCTATAATAACACCAATCTTGCGTCACGCAGCTATAATAACACCAATCTTGCGTCACGCAGCTATAATAACACCAATCTTGCGTCACGCAGCTATAATAACACGTACCTTAGGTAAGAATGACACTCAGGAGGGGGGGGGGGGGTGTTCCTCGTCTCATTTATTTGATGCTTAATAACAACATAGAAGTGATAGGTATATATATATATATTATATCTATGTACAGTTACTCTTTACACACTATATATACCTGTGGTGAGATGACGGAGGCAAGGAATACACACTCTGGCTACTGTGATCGTACTCTGTCACCCCCAGAGGGGGGGGGAAGGGGGTCAAAATAACCAGGATCACCGTATTTCTGGCTATAGTGATGCGTACACTGTAACGTGGTCAGTGGTCACTGTAACGTGGTCATTAAGTAGTGAGCTAGTAGTGTAAGTCATGAGAGGTGCTGAGCTTACAGACTCAGGGCTGACCACGCCCTCAGGTCCTACACGGGACCACCATGACACATGACACAACCTCAGGTCTCACACGAGACCACCATGACACATGACACACCCTCAGGTCTTACACAGGACCACCATGACACATGACACGTCTAAGGCGACACCTGCCTCGAAAGTGAGTACATTCCTTGGGGGTAAGATATTCCTTAGATAAGAGATCCATTCCTCTATTCCGAGTCAATTCTGAGATCGATTCCTTCTGACGGAGTGGCTACCGGAGGTGACTGAAGAGGACCGGAAGGCCTTCCTCTCCTCACCAGACGGGCGCGGCGATGAGCTAGTACTATTCAAGAACAACGTGAAGAGATTACAAGTAAAGCTATATGAATAACAGTGGTGGGGAAGGAGGTGTAGTACCCCCCAAACCTTGGCACAATATATACGCCACTAACTACCACCATTCTTGGTTTGCCATCTGTCGATACAAGTGGCATTCTCGGGGCGTAAAGTAGACGTTGTAATGTAGGTCTGTATAGTGATGACCTAGTGGCATTTGTCCCATGAAACGTAGGGGAGCGTCCATGGGGGGGGGGGGGACACCTGTCGGTATCCGCTATAGTTGACTGTGGCAGATCAACAATGTGGACAGCACGAAAGGGCGAGGGAGTCTCTTGAAAAGTGTGGCTATGTACAGAGCTCACAGTTGGCACGCGCATATGAGGGCAGAGGTGAGACTGTACCTGTAGCAGGATGACACGTGTACTGCACCTGTGGTAGATGGTTAAGTGTATTAGGTATGGGTATGAGGGTGTAGTATGCAGCCGGGTATTAGGGGGGTATTAGGGCCTGCTATTAGGGTTATGATGCCTGGTAATAGTGTGCATTAGGCATGCATAGACAAGTGTCTCTGCCAGATATAGAGTCAGGCGTGTAGGTGGTTATGTATTAAGATACGTAGTCATATATGTAGACACGCGTATCTGCAGGATACGGAGTCAGGTATGTTCAGAATGCATGTATTGAGTCAGGTGTGTATGTAAATACAGAGTCAGGTATATAAGGCATGCTACAGGTACAGTCCACATGTGGTACAGAACACGCCCTCCAAGACATCAGACTTAATGACGAAACATATGACTCCACCTATGAAAATGGCGGCGTCACACTAACTGTATATAACCTGTTCAAAAATTCTGTGTTACAATATCTATATTCTGATTAAAATGCTATGTTACAGGAGCCATATAGTCAGAGGCAGACATATACTGGAGACTCGTTAAAACTATTTGAAGACCAAAGCAGCTAGGAAATACAGATGTGTTTCAAATGATACAGGGCCTGGTATGATGATACAGGGCCTGGTATGATGATACATAGCTTAGTATCATGATACATGACTGGCATGGCGATACAAGACCTGGCATGATGATACATGGCCTGCTATGATGATGTAATATGCCTGGTATAATAATACATAACCAGATATAATGAAACGTGGCCAGATATAATGAAACATGGACCAGATATAAGGATGCGTGGACTGGTATGATGATACACGACCTGGTATCATTATACAGGGCCTGGTATGATGATACATGGCCAGCTATAATGATATAGCGATGATGCATGACTTGGTACAAACGCTAGCAGAGCACAGACTCGCGGCTACGGCCACCAAATCACACACTCAAATAACTCTAAATAGTCAACATGGTTTAAAAAGCATATAGTGGTTAAAAAAAAACAGCTCTTGCGGTGACTCCAGCTTAGGAACAAAAACCAAAGGTCAACATCCTTTATAACCTGATTGTCACAGTGTGGTGAACACTGTCGCTGCCGCCGCCGGTGTGTGTGTGTAGGGACTCAGACACGGGGCCGACTTGTGGGCTTCTCTGACGAGTTAAAAGTGATGAGTGTTCCTTGCAACAGGTGATGATTACAGCGGCGACACGGGGAGCCCGGAGACACATGCAAGGGGCTGGTCTGGTCGAGTTTTGGCGGAAGGACGTCCGAGGGGCGGGTGGAAAGGGTCTGATCGAGGACGCGACTATCATAGTCCCCCCGCCGCCGCTGCCGCGAAGTTGAGAAGCGCCGCGCAGATGACGAAGAACAGGTCGTGTCCTCGTCCTCGTCGTCCCGCCGCTGGCGTCGTCGCCCCAGAGTCGTAGCTGAAGGAATGGTCGTATGAAGACCCCTTGTCAGTCCCACCGGGCGAGTCCTTCGAGTGGCTGTCTAGAGGAACAAACAGAGAGAGAGACGATATTAACTGTCAGGAAGCGGGTTTTAGATTTCATAGTTGATGAATGTGTGTAAACTTATTTACATATTTATATAAACACTTCCAAGGCTTCTCTGTTGCCTACATTACACATTAACACCATAAATTAAAAGATAAATACAAATCAAAATACGATGAATTAACACCAAATTTGCAAATAAAAAAATAACTAAAACACACACACACCACACACACACACACACACACACACACACACACACACACACACACACACACACACACACACACACACACACACACACACCTCAGTTTAGAAAACCAGTGGTAGAAATTGATATGGGTGTTTCATTAGCAGTGACAAAGAGAATACTTAAATATCTAATGAATATCTCACCGACCTAACAAATTCACAAAGACCTGAAGGTTGTAGCATTAAGCATTACGATAAATACCGTGAGGAGACATTCACATATGGGACTAATAGAGCAAGAACTCGGCAATGTGATGTTATAGTGGCCAGAATACGCCTGGGATATAGACGTATCTGGGAGCCGGCCGGTCGAGCGGACAGCACACTGTACACGTGATCCTGTGGTCCCGGGTTCGATCCCAGGCGCCGGCGAGAAACGATGGGCAGAGTTTCTTTCACCCTATGCCCCTGTTACCTAGCAGTAAATAGGTACCTGGGAGTTAGCCAGCTGTCACGGGCTGCTGCCTGGGGGGTGAAGGCCTGGTCGAGGACCGGGCCGCGGGGACACTAAAGCCCCGAAATCAACTCAAGATAACCAACTCAAGAAAGAAGAAGCTCTCTCACACCCCAATTGTCGAGTACACAATGTGTTAACTTTGTGAAAGAGAAAACATGCACTCCCTTGAACATTATATTGTAACATGTCCCATATTGACTGACTTTCGCCCTCCTGGGCTGAGATATAATGAACTCTGTAAATACTATGTCAATACTGGAACACTTGATGATATATTGGACTTGTACCCAAGATGGACTATGTAATGAATCAGTTATACAATGAATATGATGTAACTATAACCTGAGCTTTTAAAGCATCTTAATTAATCACCTTCAGTGGTTAAGTGCTTAATAACACACTAATTTCTATAGGAGATATCTTACCCTGTCAAAGTAGGAGAGACATAAATGTATGTGAATATTATATATATATTCACAGGAAACTCTTCTCCTGTGAGGGATTCGAACCATGAAAAGCCAGGTGCCTGACACATCATTGACATGACCAGTACTGTACTGGTCATGACCACTGCATTGTGTGGTGCAGTGGTCTAGAGTACTCGTCATGTCAGTGGTGTGTCATGCACCTGGCTTTCCATGGTTCGAATCCCTCACAGGAGAAGAGTTTCTTGTGTTATCTACTGTTTACGTGTGTGTGTGTGTGTGTGTGTGTGTGTGTGTGTGTGTGTGTGTGTGTGTGTGTGTGTGTGTGTGTGTGTGTGTGTGTGTGTGTGTGTATATATATATATATATATATATATATATATATATATATATATATATATATATATATATATGTCGTACCTAGTAGCCAGAACGCACTTCTCAGCCTACTATGCAAGGCCCGATTTGCCTAATAAGCCAAGTTTTCCTGAATAAATATATTTTCTCTAATTTTTTTCTTATGAAATGATAAAGCTACCCATTTCATTATTTATGAGGTCAATTTTTTTTATTGGAGTTAAAATTAATGCAGATATATGACCGAACCTAACCAACCCTACCTAACCTAACCTAACCTATCTTTATAGGTTAGGTTAGGTTAGGTAGCCGAAAATGTTAGGTTAGGTTAGGTAGGTTAGGTTGTCGAAAAACTATTAATTCATGAAAACTTGGCTTATTAGGCAAATCGGGCCTTGCATAGTAGGCTGAGAAGTGCGTTCTGGCTACTAGGTACGACATATATATTATATAATGTATGTGTGTATACAGGATATGTGAAAGCGGGTCAGAATTGCATTTCACCTTTGTAAACGCACATTAATGACACTGTAAAAAGACACCTCGAACACTGTTTATGTAGGACAGACGTGAATCTGCGTATTTATGTATTTATGTATGTAGGTTAGATTAGCGTTTTAAAAGCACTACAGTCACCTGTGGTTGATTGTTCAATTAATCACTGAACTATATGTTTAACAGATCTCTAACCCTGTCCATGGAAGACTGAACAAAATGTATATATGCTGATTAGCATTGTAAATGTGTGGCCACGTCTGTGGTAGAAAATAATAATAATGATAAAGACAAAGTGAATGGTGAGACCTCAGACTAGCGTGAAGTCACCAGCGGAGTCCTGCAGGGTTCTGCACTGGGACCTATTCTGTTTCTGATATGCGTGAATGATCTCTCAGAAGGTATAGACTCATTCCCCTCAATGTTTGCTGATGATGCTAAAATTATAAGAATGATTAAGAAAGAGGAGGACAGCAAGAGGCTACAGGATGACCTGGACAGACTGAAGGAATGATCCAACAAATAGCTACTAGAGTTTAACTCGAGCAAGTGAAAAGTGATGAAGATAGGCTTAAGGAGCAGGAGGCCAAACACAAGGTACCAGCTGGGAGAAGAAATTCTTCAGGAGTCAGGACGAGAGAAAGATCTGGGGGTTGATATCACACCAGACCTGTTCCCTGAACGTCACATCAAAATGACAACATCAGCGGCGTATGTAAGGCTGGCGAACATAAGAACTGCCTTCAGAAACTTGTATAAGGAATCATTCAGAACCTTGTATACCACATATGTCAGACCAATACTGGAATATGCGGCTCCAGCGTGGCGTCCTCATCTAGTCAAACACAAAACGAAGTCAGAAAAGGTTCAGCGGTTCACTAAGCTAGTCCCCAAGTTGAGAGGAATGAGTTATGAGGAAAGATTACTGGAACTGAACCTCACGATACTGAAAGACAGAGGAGTTAGGGGAGATACGATTACTACCTACAAAATTCTCAGAGGAATTGACAGGGTAGATAAAGATAAATTGTTTAACACGGGTGGTATGCGAACAAGGAAACACAGGTGGAAACTGAGTACTCCAATGAGCGACAGGATCGTTAGAAAAAACTTTTCAGTGTCAAGAGTAGTTAACAGGTGGAATGAATCAGGCAGTAATGTGGTGGAGGCTGACTCCATACACAGTTTCAAATGTAGATATGATAGAGCCCAGTAGGCTCAGGAATCTGTACACCAGTTGATTGACAGTTAAGAGGCGGGACCAAAGAGCCAAAGCTCGACCCCCATAAGCACAACTAGGTAAGTGCACACACACACATCCCTCCCTCTCTCTCTCTCTCTCTCTCTCTCTCTCTCTCTCTCTCTCTCTCTCTCTCTCTCTCTCTCTCTCTCTCTCTCTCTCTCTCTCTCTCGCACACACCTACATACTTACAGTCTTTTTCTCTGAAGACAACGTCCACCTCGGAATACACTTCGTTCACCGCCTCGCCCGTCCGCCACGAGTTCGGGC